TTATGGAGAAACATAAACTAAACAAGATTTGCCTGAGCATTACATCCGAATTCCTTACCAAATTCGAAATAAAAATAAAATATGGAAAACAAATACTAATAATAAAAATAAATAAAAATAAAAAGAGAATTAAATTTAGTGAGTGCGCATTTTTTTTTTTGTTAAACACAATGTCTTTATAAAAGCCGGGAACCGGGCCCGGCATCCCTTACAAAATCACGTGGGGCCCTCAGTGGGCGAGGCATCACCGGCCTATCACAGAGAGGACACCACTAGTTTTAACCTACTATCGATTCCACAGTCCAACAACTCAAAAATTGACCCAAATTTTCCACCATATCTAAATTATCCCCGAGGAATGAAAACGCTAAAAAGATCTAAAACTCATCAGCAAAAACCCTAATTCCCCTATCATATAACCACAGACGAGAATTACCAATCCTAATTAGTAATCGGAATTCCACCAATCATAAGGAAAACATACGCAAGAGGGCAAAACCAAATGTCAGCGCTGCTTGATGATGTCCACTATTGATCCAAGATCACCACCAACCCCTTGCTACTCTGCTCTGCCACCCGCGCAGCAGGGGTCTGTACCCACAGGCCCCCAATCTGCAGACAGAGACCCCGCGAAACCCTCCCACCTCCTCGCGATTCAAAGCAGATAGCACCTCCCCATTCTCCTCACTCAAAAACACCAACTCCCACCACGATGCTGTTTTTGCTAACCAGGAGATCACCCCACCTCCCGCGCGGCAGGGGCCAAAAAGCCCCGCGAAACCCTCCCACCTCCTCGCGATTTAGGGTAAGCCCCCCCCTTGGTTCTGCATACACCCCCGACGGATGCTTCACCGCCCTCCATGACAAAGCCCCGGCGGGATGATGCTCACCACACAACCGCAATAATTTGGATGACAACATGACACCTGCCTATACGGATAAAATGAGGCCCAACCCAGTTTCAACATCTAGCGGTAACACCCTACCTCCCGCGCGGCAGGGGTCGAAGACCCCGCAAACCCACCCACCTCCTCGTGATTTAGGGAAAACCACTACCACTAATCTGCACCGTCTCACAAGGAAACACCACCGCCCACCATGATGGCGATTCTACAGAGCGGCACTCTCTTACTCATCTTATCCCATGCAAAAAACGCTAGAGGCTATTACCCAATCAAAAAAGAAAGACATCGGAAAACACACATATGACCTCAGCCCTAACATATCAAAAACCAGTGACTCACTTCACACTTCCATTCTCCCAAAGCCCTAAAACGGGCCACGACAGATGAACGCTCCGAAGTCAAGATGTCGATGAGCGCTCCCGGATATCGTAAGCAGGACTGTACGTTGAACGTGAAAGGTCCCGCAGCAAAATTTTTACCTCTGTCGCCATCACTTTCACGGGCTGACCCTGATTAGATGTCAGGGCAGGAGACCCCCGCAAAAACCTCCGTGTCAAAGACCGAGGGGCATAGCCCCCGATCAGTCTCGTCAGGTATAGTGCAGCATCCGGATCCCACCCGCAGATGGCCCCCACATATGACTCTCTCCATCCTCCACCGAGCTAGGATTCTTGACAAAGTCAAGTGGGATCAGCAATGACCAGGAGCGTGTTACGGCTCCTTAGGCTCGCCCCCCAAACACCCCCGTATTCCTCCCTGCGCCGCCATGGCCACCCCTACGCCAAGTTCTGGCAAGCGGAGTAGACAGGTTTCGTCAACCCCGTGCGCGATCCCCCAACGCCCGGATGCTGCTAGGTCCCCCTCCCAGGGATAACCCGTACTATGCACGAGCATGTTTTCGACACCGCCATCTTTGGCGATTTTTCATTTTTTTTTGGCATAGCTAAATGCCCTGAAAATTTACAGATGTGTACTTCACATAATACAAAACCCACTAAAAAAGTTTCAAAATAATAAAATTGTTTAGACCCTGAACTAAAGTGAAAACAAAAAGGAAAAAAGTGAAAAAATACGCGGGCGAGCACGTTTTGACACCGCCATCTTTGGCGATTTTTAACTCTTATTGGGCTTAGCTAAATGACTTGAAAATTTACAGGCATTTACCTCACGTCATAGAGAACTCACAAAAAAAGATTCAGAAAACAATAATTATTTTTAGGCCCCGAAATAATTTTTGGCGGGGGTCGAACACCATCGGGTTCGGACCCCGTACGGGACCCCGAACGCCCGTACGTACGGAGGTCTGCCCGGGGAGTACATACGGGCTGGTGAGCCTGTATATATATATATATACCTGTATATATATCGTCCCGGTAAACCATAGTCAGAGAGAGAGAAGAGGACAACAAACGAGGGGCTGTGACAAACTGTTATAGACTCCGACGAAACAGTTTGTCACAGCCCCTCGTTTGTTGTCCTCTTCTCTCTCCCTGCCTACGGTTTAACGGGCAGTTCTGTTTGTGACGATATATATATATATATATATTCAAATAGAGCTGCCCGGTAAACCGTAGGCAGAGAGGGAGAAGAGGACAACAAACGAGGGGCTGTGACAAACTGTTTCGTCGGAGTTTCACCGACTCATCAGGAAGCTGTATACATACACATATTGTCACATATCTATCCACTGAAAGAGTGCACTTTGCCTCACGAACAACAAAAATACAGGACAAATCTCAAGAGCACACTGAAACCGTACTTGTGAACATTTCTTCCTTTAGCTCCCACTTTACTGTGCCTCTCACGTACAAAGCTCTCGCCTCGTTGATGAAGTTGAGCATCAGCTCCCCACACATATAGATATATTATATTGTCATGTACTATACAGTTTATATTATGCATAACATATCATCAAACAGAAGGAAGCATATATAGATCGTTACATACCTTTGAACTAAAAGAGCGTAAACGGTAAAAATAATAATACAAAAAAAAAAACACAAGAGGAACAGGACGATCACACTGAAACCATTTACATGTGGTCTCAAAATCTTGCGGACAGGACTTTGAGAGGCGGAACCTTTGAAGGCAGGGACACACCTTCCCATGGAGTCTCATCGGGCCCAAAGATAGTCGCGGACCATACAAACAGGCTGTCATCATTGACTGGACTTGCACTGCACCCCTGCAGAAAAAAGACGTGAGACGCAAGACAATGGGGTCTGAGTTGACCAATCGGCCAGAAGGATGGACGCATGGATGAGAAGTACAGGAAAGAGGAACTCCATGCTGGGAACTAATCATTAATAAATATGAAATTCACTGAACAATCAAAATTTTGAAAGAAAACAAGTCTTTATTATAAGATCATCATTTGATTTGTTGAAAGAATATATAAGATCATCACACCTGGCATTTACCTCGGGTAGTTATAATATATATATATATCGTCAAATATATATATATAGTCAAACAGAGCTGCCCGGTAAACCGTAGGCAGAGAGAGAGAAGAGGACAACAAACGAGGGGCTGTGGCAAACTGTTTCATCGGAGTTTCACCGACTCATCAGGAGGCTGAACCCTCAAAAACAGTCGGCAGAATCCCCTAACTGATTACACTGTAAGTGATAATCCACCTTAACCCCAGCTGTGGTTAAGCATCAACAACTGCCCGGCAACTGATACCCTGAGGTGGGCACCAACCACTGCCCTCAAGGTACCTGTGGCAAAAGTCAAAGCAGACTATCACTCACCCACACCAGATGGGAAACTCTACAGACTGTCGGTTCACACCCCATCACAAGCCAGCAAAACACCCACGAAACAAAGAAAGGTCGGTCACAACCAAAAAATACACTCCAGACACGCCGCTGGCACTAGAGGCACAGCATGGCTGCGTGTATATATACATATATCGTCACAAACAGAACTGCCCGGTAAACCATTGGCAGAGAGAGAGAAGAGGACAACAATATATATATATATATATACATATATATCGTCAAAAACAGAACTGCCCGGTAAACCATAGGCAGAGAGAGAGAAGAGGACAACAAACGAGGGGCTGTGACAAACTGTTTCGTCGGAGTTTCACCGACTCATCAGGAGGCTGAACCCTAACAGTCTGCAGAATCCCCTCACTGATTACACTGTAAATGATAATCTACCTTAACGAAAATCAAAGTAGACTATCACTCACCCACACCAGATATATATATATATATCAGAACTACAGCAGCAAGTACAGTCCAGAGTCGTGGACGACTCAAACTCAGCCCCCCCTGCTAACGCCCAATCATTATAGCTGCATTTTGTGCAACTTTTGGTCTAGATACAGCAATAACGACCAGGAGCTCTGTTCGGGTGAAGACGGTAACACTGGTACAGAGAGCTCACATTTCTAGGCCAGCAGTTTTCATCCGTATCAGCAAGGAAGCAGGGAAGGCGGCAGGAACAGAGCACCTGGCTTGAGCTAAGCTGAAACACTTCAAAAGCGGTACAGTTACAAAGCACCTGGAGTGTCACACTCCTCCAGAAGCAGTCACCTCAAAGGAGGCGGCCCAGTGGTGCAAAATAGACTATTTTCTAAAATCATTTTGCAGAAATGGAAATCTGAAAAAATAGTCTTTTTTGGAAAAGAAAGCCCAGAAGTGTCCGACTGGAGTAGGCTGAGACTCGTCCATTCTATCCAAAAAGAAAGTTGCTAACCGCAGGGGGAAAAAAGAAGAAACAAAAAAGGCTGAATTGGCTGAATTTGCTGATTTTCGTCGTTTTTCGCAGCTCTTTTTTTTTTCCTAACGGGAAAATATTGACTAGGTGCTTAGCACGCTGGTTACCGTAAGCCTTGGGGATTAAACTGACAGTACACCCGGGGCTGGAGGCACTCCATTGCATGCCAAACTTCGCTGAATCGCCAGCGGCGCACTGTTTTTCGTTTCTGGCTGGTGTTGCGAGCCATTGTGGTCTGGTAGGCCCGCAGCAAAAAAAATTCAGATGCGCAATGAGTTCATTTTCAGTAAGGCTGGGGCCTTGTACTGGCAGTTTAATTTCAGTTTAAACTTTAAACTTTAAACTTTAAACTTTAAACACCCTTTACCTATTCTCATAGACTCAAACTTCAAGATTTCGGGGTTGCTTAACCGAACCACAAGGGGTCTACAAAAACTCCCAGGGGGCCAACAATGGGCCATTTTTGATAAGCACATTTGGCAATGCAAGGATGAACCGAAATTCGAGCTATGGTGCCCAACCGCAGGCTAACCCAGACACCACAAAGGGTGTTGATTGGAAAACAAAAACAAAAAAAAAACAAAAAAAAAAGAGTTGGTGCTTGGTACTGCTTTCCATTGGGAAACTTAATGTGGTAAGCAGTGGACACGCTGCATGAAGTTACTGACAGCAGGAGAGAATAGGCCTCGCTCCACTACTCACAACAGCACGCACAAAATACAAAAAATATGGCCGTGTATCTTTCCACGTTATAGGGGAAGATTCATTCTCATTTTGCACATCTGGAGAGTAGTGGAGAGAGGGCCCAATTTGAATTTGAATGAAAGGAACTGTGAAAGTGGATAGAGGGTGATAGTGGGTGGATTAGGATACAAGGGAGTGAAACATATGGCAGTGAACTTATGAACGTTTTCACACAGGTTAACAGAATGGGCACAGAAGAGCCTAGCGTGTCAATCTATGCCCTTCTACATAGTGGGCACAGAAGAGCAGAATGGGCCCACTTACGAGTGGACCCACTGTGTCAATGTATATGTTTTTTTTTTTTTTTTTTTTTTT